AAAAAAAAAAAAAAAAAAAGCAAAAACCACGCACATGGTACGTGGTTATGCCTGGATATGACAAAAACTGGGCCTCTGGCCCGGCCAGTGTGGCTCAGTTGGTTGAGTGTCGTCCCATGCACCAGGAAGTCACTGGTTTAATCCCAGTCAGGGCAAATGCCGGGGTTGAAGGCTCGATCCCCAGTATGGGGCATGGATTAATGTTTCTCTCTCATCAGTGTTCCTCTCTCTCTCTCTCCCTCTCCCTTCCTCTCTCTGAAATCAATACAAACATATTTTTAAACAAACAAAAACCAGACTTCTGATGGCTGAAGCACCAGAGACGTTGGGGTGAGCAAGGGCCAAGGAAAGGAAGCACAGAGGCACATCCCAGGAGGAAAGGGGTCAGTTCACCTTGACAAGAGCCAAGGGAGCCTATGATTCAGAGGATGAGGCTAGGAAGGTCAACTGAGGCCATGTGGCGGAGAGCCTTGAGGCTGAGCGCAGGTGTGTGGGCCTGCGACCATGGGGCTCCACAAAGGTTTCCAGCACAATTCACCAGAAGGGGCCTGTCCCCAAAACTGGGCTGGTTTGGGCAGGAAAGGAGGGAAACTGAGGCGTGCCGCCGGTGAGGCGGACAGGCCAAGGAAGCAACTGGAACAGCCTCAGCTCCAATGACCACAGTGAGGCTTGAGACTGGACCAGGCACCCCTTAGAGGATGGGCTCATCACTGACCTCTGTGCATCCCCGAGGCCTCATCAGGGCCGTGAACAGAACAAAGCACAGGACGAGCGGCTAGCCTGGGAGGCAGGTGTCGGCCCAGGCAGCGCTCTAGGACAGAGACACTCATCACCATATAAGGAATAAAAACGAGGGGAAGGGGGGAAGGGGGAAAAAAGGTTGGAATAGGCTTAAAGAAAAAGGGAACCTAAAGATAGCCTAAACAAAACACGCGGGCCCCTCGCCCTGCCTCGCTGTCTGCCGGCCATATGGTGTGCGATAAGCCAGAACGCTTTTATTTATCTTCCTGCGCTGCCCAGTAAACCCCCCGGGCGGCGCCGCCCGAGGCAGAGGCTGTGCTCGCCCTGCGACAGCCAGCTCCCAGTCCCCCTGCAGGAGGCAGCCGGGCTGCGGTCCCTCCCCCAGCCTTGCTGCCTGTCTCGGCCCCACAAGAGCCCAGGCCCCCACAGCTGTTTCCCCACAGCTGGAGAAACGCCAGCCAGGCCCGCTGGGCCACACCACAGCCAGCCAGCCAGTTCCTTAGCGTTCACCCTCGCGGGCTTACTCGGCCACTCAGGGGGGTCCTCTGCTGTGGCCCAGGCAATACCTGGTAGGGAAAAACCGCACCTTTCTCGTGGGTATAAGTTATGGGACACCTTGAGCGCTGCTTAACAGGCATGCTGCCTCTTGGACCATTGACACCTCAGGGCTCATGCCTTCCTGATGGATCCAACCACCCCATCTCTTGCATGAGAAAATGGTGACGCGCTAACTATATCCGAATTTCACCAGGTCCAAGTTCACTGCTCTTCTCTCCCACGACCCAGATAATCACATTAAGGTCTCTGCTTGCTCTGCACTCCTTAGCCCAACCCTCAGCCTCCACGCTCTTCTGGCCACCATCTCACTCTCTCTCGTCAGCCACGTTTTGACTAAACGAAGGGTGACATATGGGATGGAAGGAGACTGACGGGGAACCTTCCAACAGGATGCCCAGTTAAATCTGAACTCAGATAAACAACAAATTTTCTTTTAAAAAAGTTTTTTTAGTTCTTTCTTCAATTACAGTTCAGTGTTAGTTTCAAGTGTAGAGCCTAATGATTAGATAATCATATACTTTGCAAAGTGATCCCCCTGGTATTTCCGGTACCCACCTGGCACCACACTTGGTTATGACCATATTATTGACTTTATTCCCTATGCTGTACTTGACATCCCTGTGACTAGTTCAACAAATCGATTTCAATATAGGTATCACACGCACTATTTGTGATATACTAAAAAAAATTATTGCTTGTTTATCTGAAATTCAGGTTTAACCAGAAATCCTGTATTTTTATTTGCTAAATCTGCAGGCCCTGGATATCAGGGAGCAGCCGGACGAAGGCCTTGGGCCTCGCAAGCTCTGTGTGGCCCCATCTTGTGGCCAGGACCCCAGGTAGCTACACATGGAGGGCAATCTCTCAGCCGAAGCAAGAAGTCACAGAGCCCTGAATAAAGACCCACCGGGAGGAAGTCCCAAGGAAGATGCCCTGCCGCCAGGAAGTATGCAGATGCCAAGCACAGGTACCTAAAGACCTGGCAGTGTTTGGACAGAGTCTGTCCCCTGCAGTCTTACACCCCCAAGGGCACCCACAAGCCAATGAAACCTAACACCTAGAGGGGTAGGTGGCTGATTGGCTTAACAGAAGCATGAACTGTTTTATTTTATTGTGTTTTTTTTATATGAGAAAATTTATTTAGAAAATCATGGAGATAGAAGTGAGCGGTAGAAGACATGGGCTCAGGAAACAAGTTAAAGAGGCAAAAGAAGGGTCCTTGAAGCTTAGGAAAGAGAAGGGTAAAGGTAATGTGCCTTGGAGGGAAAGGGAGGGGGAGAGGGAAGGCTTGGGTCCTCCCCGTAAGGGCTTTTAAGGGTGGGGATGAACTGTTTTATAAATGGCTTTCACCTGGTCCGTAGGGCAGCGGGTCTGGGCAGGTCCCAGCATGAATCCTGGCAGGAGACATAACCCAGCCCCTGTGAAAAGCAGGGCTCTGGGCCAGGCCAAGTGCCATGCATGTGTGGGGCATTTCTCTATATACAACCCAGAAACATCTAGAAGCAGCTGTTTTTCTCTTACCCTGGCACTTAATGCAATAATAGAATGACACTTCACCCCTAATCTGGGGACTATTTTTGCTACGGTCCAGAAAGCCACCGGCTAATAATATTAGGTTGAACTACATGAAATTGCCATTTTTGTAAGTCAAGACTGTTAGAATATTGGCAATTACATATAGCTCAACCAAATAATAATAATGCTTATCACCTGCTGTGTGTCAGGCTTCATGCAAGTCCTTTAAGTGTACTTATCGTGTAATGTTTAGTTCTTATAACCACCTTTCAAGGTAAGTATTGCTGTACCCATTTTAGAGATGCAGAAACTGAGTTACAGAGAGGTAAATGTATTCATCTGACTGGACACCAAGTGAGTCTGTGTCACTCCAAACCCCACATTCATTTCACCTACCATGTGGCATGGGTTATGGGAGGGGGGTTCTTCCACCTCCTGTGCTCTCTGCCTCTGCTTGTGGGTCAGTGGCTGGTCATTCCTGCAGCACTGGGCACTGCCAAGATTTCCACCCTGCCATCGCCTGCCTACGCAGGGGCCACTCTGTAACTAATCAAAGTCCAGCCCCCTGAATTAGCAGCAAAGTGTATTTAACAAACAATTTCAAGAGGAGGAAAACATTTGAGTGTTTATTTAGAGTGAGAGGAAAAAGAAGCCCAAACATGCACTCCTAAAATAAACAGAAAGTAATCAAGAGAGAAAAACCTAGTCCAACCAGTTTTAAAACGCCTAAACCATGACTATGAGCTAACATGCAGTGGCCCACTACGAAGGCATCAGGTGCAGTGTGATCCAGCATCACCGCAGACCCAGAGGCTTGTGCTTCTGTGGCTCTCCTCTGAGAAGGTTACTGAGCCTCATGGAGGGGAGAGGCAGAGAAGCCCCCCAAAAGACCAAGTCAAAGACAGAGAGGGTCACTCGTCTCCTGGCCCACCATAACCCGCCTCGGGCTGAGATCAGCACAGTAACATAAATACAGAGCTGTCAGACATGAACTTTAAAGTAAGAAGAAGAAAGGAATGTTCTCCTGCTTGTGAAATTACATTTTGGAAGTCAGGGCATACGTAATGCACAATAAAAGTAGTTTCCACAGTTCCAAATGAACATCTGCAGACATCAAAGTTTGAGGATAAAAAGGACTGACCTTCACGTGGGCCACGTAGTGATGACATGTCTCCTCCATGTGGACCAGCTGCAGCTTCTCTGAGACCTGACCCACGGACTCTCCCAGCAACACAAAGTAGACCCTGGGCAACTGGCTCTTTTCCTTTTTGGCCACATCAGCCGTCAGAATATAATTCAGGCCTGCCGATAAACAAGGTCAAAATGTCAGTGAGGACACACACACAGTGACAAGGCCACCTCCGTGCCTCCTCCCAGGGTCATAAGCACATCTCATATGACACCTAACCATCCACTGCACAGAGGACTGTTGCTCCAGGTCCACGCCATGTCAGAAAGCAGCATGTAGCCAGGTGCTGGCAGAAACGAGGGACAACCAGGTGCCCGCTGCCTTCCTGTTGATTCTCTGGGCATCACACCACGTGGCTCTCCCAGATTTAAACCTCATGAGTTATCAACTGAGCCACCAAGACACACATCAGCAATTAGCTCTGCTCAACACAATTAGTATCCTGAAAAGCAGACACCCCTGTCGAACCTACAGAATATCACTAGGAGCTGCTGAAATTATCAGGGCTGCATGTAATATTGACTTCTACAAAGCAATGGGATATATGCCCAACACAAGGGAGAAATTATCCAGTAATTCTGACTCATATCACAGATGTTGAGTCGTGCTCTATAATCACTACATCGACTGGACCATGCACCACCCGTGGTCCACTGAGTACAGACGATGTGCCCGGCACTGTGCAGGCGCAGGGGACACATCAACGAACCACACAGGCCAAACACCCTGTCCTCACAGAACTTATACTTAAAGAAATCCAGACGCAGACTTAAGCTTTTTTCCCAGACAGCCCAATGTGGGGATCGCACATTTTATAGTGCCTACCATTTCAACAAGACCATGACCACCATGGGCCTGTACTGAGGTGCCCTCCTGAAAAGCAAAACTCATCCGCTACCCCTCCATGTGTAATGTCAGCTGGCAGAGCCTGCCGTGACACAATCTGGGTTTGTTTTTTAAATGGTCATAATATAGAATGCGCATTGGATGAACCCCAAAGGTTCCACCTCCATTATTTGAATCTGTTAGACAATAAAGGACAATGTGTTTTATTAGGTAAGTATGGCTTTAGTACTAACAGACCTATTTCACTGCTTGTCTGTACCAAAGAACCCCGTTTCAGAGGTCAGCCCCTTTGTAACACTTTATTCCTGGCTACTTGGTAGGTTCATGGGGATATGACATTTGTAAAGTGAGAGAAAAGGAACTCTCTGTCCGTAAAATGACCATATGAGACTGAGAGCAATGGGAAAGCAGATGACCCAGGCCTGCCTGTCCCCACACCCCAGCCTCTTCGAAGCTGAGCTCCTGCATCAATGAAAACCAGCCTCGCGCCCGCCGGCACTGACGTTCGGGAAGCCAGGCACCGGGACGGCTCTGGCTTTGAATCACACTGCAGGGCTCACCACCAGGGGAGGTGTGAACCAGGAGCGAGGAAAGTGACCTGGGCTNGCTTTGCATCACACCGCAGGGCTCACCACCAGGGGAGGTGTGAACCAGGAGCGAGGAAAGTGACCTGGGCTGGCATTCTGCAGCTGCCAAGGGGCATGTTTTCATGCATTTAATGGTTTGCCTGGGCCTCTGCCATCTCAGGCACCTTGCCCTGTCAAGCTGGCGGATTCCTGGTCAGCAAGGGCTACTCTGCCCCAACTTGTTTATTTCAACAAACAGCTGGTTTCCAAGGCAAGGCTGGGTCACCAGGAGGGACCTGGGACCTGGAGCATCGCAGGAGATACTAAGAAGAGAAGAATGCCTGGGGGGAAGTGCTTCAACAGAGAAAACACAGGAGCCTGTGCAAGAGCTACACCCCGACTCCCTTGCCAACAACAGTGGAAACTGAGGTATGTGCATAGAATGTAGTCTTTAGGGCAGGGGTGGGGAACTTCTGGCCCTCGGGCAGTATATACCCCAAAATCATTTAGTCTGGCCCTGCCAAGGCAACCGCAGGCGGGACTTGAAATTCAATAAATCTAGGAGCTTTTTTCATAGCTAATTTTTAAGCTGATAATTTTGCACAGCCCGAGAATGATGTTATAAATATCCAAATGGCCCTTGGCAGAAAAAAAGATTCCCCACCCCTGCTTTAGGGCAATCCTAGGGACCATCTAGTCTGAAATCCTCATTTTTCAGAGGAGGAGTTGAGGCCTCAAAAGCAAACAAGACTTGCTCCAGGCCAAAGAGCCATGAACCTCAGGGTGGGATGTAGACCTCTCCTAATCTGCAGTGTGGGCTATTCCCCCCACTCAGGTTCTTGGTGCATTTTTTACATTCTCTGACAAAGAAAAAAAAAACAATAAATAAACAAACAAACAAACAAAACCCCTCACATTTTTTGAATGCACAGACATAGAACCAAACAAAGATCTAGAACTGNAACCCTCACATTTTTTGAATGCACAGACATAGAACCAAACAAAGATCTAGAACTGAACTCTGGTAAATTTACGTTCTACTGGTCACCACTGCTCTGAGCAACAGCCAAACAGTAAGAAAGGGTAAGTGTAAATGAAGTGTTTCCAAGTTCTGTTGAGCAAGGTCAGAGCTGGAGGTAGGTGTTGATGGCAGAGGAGCCAGAGACCTCGGCAAACCACTGCAGTGGTGGCAGCTGTTAAGCAGGGTCTCCTTGGCAGCCCCCTACCTGGCCCTCCCCCAGGTGAGAGTACTATGGCTGTCCTCCCTCAGGAAGGGAGATCATGGAGGGAATACAGGGTTTCACCCACCTTGCCAGCAAAGAGCTGGCTGAGCTCAGAGAAAGCTGGGTGAAAATGAACACAGGAAGACAGAGCTGATAACATCAGTGCCCCACCCATATCCTCTTGGCTTTTCCCATTTTTCCACTGTTCAGCCTCACTTGCAACTGCCAGCACCTACATCCCCTTTCCCGAGGGCTTTCTGGTGGCCCTGCCCACGAGCATGACAGGCCACAAGGAACCAAGAACTCAAGTACCCAGAGAGCAGCCCTCAGTACTGCATGACCCAGCTCCCTCATCCCTTGGGTAGGGTGACTCTGAGGTGTGTTCCACACTGACTCCCCCAGGGTTCCCTGCAGAACTCACCTCCAGCTGCCCACAGTGGAAACTTGCTCAGTAACACACTTTCATTTGACAACTGTGATAGTTAATGTGTCTACNGCTCAGTAACACACCTTCATTTGACAACTGTGATAGTTAATGTGTCTACTTGACTAGGCCACGGTACCCAGATATTTGGTCAAACACCAATCTGGATGTCACTGCCAAGTATTTTTTAGATGAGATTAACATTTAAATCAGTACAATCAAAATAAAGCAGATTACCCTCCATAATGCNCTCAAATCAGTACGATCAGAATAAAGCAGATTACCCTCCATAATGCAGGTGGGCCTCGTCTAATTAGCTGAAGACCTAAAGAGAAAAATACTAAAGTTGCCCCCAAAAAGAAGGCATTCTGCTTCCAGACCGCCTCCCCGCTGCAATATCAACATACACACATCCTCTTGTTCTGTTTCTCTGCAGAACCCTGACCGAGGCAGCTGCCTTCCCTTCCTGTCTCACTGTCCCACTTTCCTGCTGTGCTTCCTGGGGTCACCTCCTGAATCAAAGCCCCACTCGCTGCAGAATCATTGACCCAGTATAGCCCTCTACAGACTGAGGGGAGGGGAGAAACAGTTAAGTTACTAGAAACTGATCCGAGGACCACAACCACGCTCTGCTCGAGGCAGCACACGGGCTGCCAACGTGCTCACCGATCAGACTTCTCTAAAACATTCAAGTGCACAATCGCAGGCAGGCCGAATTATCCAATTCGTCAAGCGCTATCATTTTGGAAGCTTTTTATCTTTAGAAGTGCCTACCGGTGCTTCTCCTTGATTTAAAATTTACTTTGACATTTTAAATTACACAAAAAGAAGTTAGCTCCATAGCAAACTCTCTCTTCTAGAAGAAAGCATCCCCAAGGAGACTTATGATGGCAAACCCAGCCTGAACGAGGAGGGTCTTGGAGCTGCCAGGGTGGCAAGTAGTGCACACTATGCTGAAACCCTGAGCTTGGCGGGTAGTTTTATTTATTTATTTTATTTATTTATTTATTTTGGTTAATCTTCACCTAAGGATAATTTTTCCACATATATATATTTAAAGAAAGTGGAAGGGAGGGAGGAGAGAGAGAAATACTGATGTGAGAAACACATCAATTGGTTGCCTCGCGCATGTGCTCAGCCAGGGTGGGGATCGAACCTACAAACCTGTACATGCCCTTGACCTGAAATTGAACCCAAGACCCTTCGGTGTGCAGGCTGATGCTCTAACAACTGAGACACACCAGCCAGGGCTCAGCTTGTAGCTTTAAATAGCACCCTCCCCAAGTGTGTCTGAAAGGGAGCCCCTAAGAAGGGGAGGAGACACTACAGCAGCAGCCACTCAGCCTGCTCCGACAGTGTGCTGGCCCAGTGGGAAGGTGCCCTGATGCAAGCCAGCCCAGCCAGCCTGTCCCCCAAGGTGCTGGTTCTGATTAGGGCCCTCCCCAACAGCACATTTCACATCTTCAGGTCTGCCTCCTGGCAGCTTGTGTCCACGCCATGTCCAATGATGTCATGTTGATGGAAAAGTTGATCAGCCCCAAGTACTGCTTCCAGACGCCTCCTTCCCCTGCCCCCAGCTAGTTCCCAAGGGCCCCCCTGAGCCAGAAGGGGGGGCCAGCTGTCTCACATCAACTCTGGCTCTGGTCTCTCCCAGCGAGCTGATTCATTCCCTTTCTCCGTCAGAACATGATTTCAGCGGTGAAACTCCAATAAATTCTCCTTCCAGAGTTACTCTGAGGTTCCCTTAGAGTGTCCCGGGAGAGGAGAGGAGAGGAGAGGATATTTCCACTTCACTCACTAGCTTTCCTAAATGTTCTCCCCCCGCCAAGGGAATGAGTGGTCATTATTAGACCAGGTTTTCCCATTCCTCATATAACATGGGTTTGCCCCATTCATTATCCCAGTTCCACGCTTCTTGGGAAACCAGAAGGAGCTAAGAGAAATGCAACCCAAAAGCCCGAGGAAGGGTCAGGGATCAAGTCACCTGGTTTCTACCCTATTTCTTGGATGACCCTGATGCCATCTCCCAGTACCTGGGCTCAGCTGCAAAGCGAGGGTGCTCATGGCTTTGCCACGTTGACCAAAAGCCATGGAAACATGGTCAGAGCACAAAGCACAACCACTTAGGGTTCATCCCTTCCTGGTTTTCCTCTAGGGCTCTAGTCAGAGCACAGAACTGCTGGCTGACTCTCATCCTCCAGAGACCGACAGGCACATGGAGGCTTCAGCTTGGCCAGCAAGTAGGTACAGGCCCGGCCCATGGGTCAGAGACAGAGCCCTGGGGGGCAAAGCATTCACTACCCTTACTTAGGGCACCTAGGAGGCTCCAGGGAGCCATGGGCCACAGCCCGAGCCCAGAATGAAGGGACGAGTGAAGTGAAGAGGGGCAGACCTCTTGCCTGATGCAATGCACTAGAAACCTGTTCTTGAGGCTGTTGGAGTTGGACACCGTGTCTGCGCCCCAACACTGAGCCAAGGGCCTGCCACACAAAGGCCTCAGACCCACCCAGAGGCAGCAGCATCGGCTGTTTCTGTCTTACCATCTGCCTCCCTCTCCCTAGATCACAAGCTCCGTGAGGACAGGGCTTTGCCTGTGCAAGCATAGTATCTGGCACTTTTAAGAACTTAATAATGATCTTTTGATTGACTGACCCAATGGGCACTTGGGTAACTCCAGGGGACTGGATACTTGCTGTGTTGGTTTTAGAAGCTATTGTGTCTCAGCACCAAACCTGCCCTTCTCACTCTGCAATGCTGGAATGGGACTCTGCAAACTCATTTCTGCTTTGCATGTGGCTCTCTGTGTGGCTCTCCCAACATGGAGAGCTCAGGGGAGGCCGCAAGGCTGGAGGGAAAGGGGCTCGCTCTGTCCCGCCTGCTTCCCATTCCTATCAGCTTAACACAGCATCAGTTTTTCACGGCAGCTGGCTCCAACAGCAGTTAATTCAAGTTTCACTTTCCCCCGCCGAGCCAGCCTCCCTGCACCCCCTCAGAAACACCAGCAGCACGAGCTAGCAGCCCCTCGTCCAAGCTTTAGATCCTGGCTTTGCTAGGTCTCTTCTCCCAGCTTCTAGGTCCCCAAGGGAGTGGTCCACCCCAAGAGTAACCTTTCCCCTTTGTTCCCCTTGACCAGGGGTTCTCAAATCTAAGCCACCTGGAAGCTTGTTAAAACACAGGTTGCTGGGCCCCACCCTCAGAGTGTCTGATTCAGTGAGAAGTTGCATTTCTAATAAGAACCACGTGCTGCTGCTGCACCCGGTCCGGGGACAACACCTGGTGCAGATGTAGAAGCGGTGGCTGCTTCCTACAGTTACCACCAAGTCCTCTGTGACCTGTTGAACCGATCCCCGCCGTTAAATTTCCTTTGTTAAAATAACTGGTGTGGTTTCCGTCTTCCTGACTGGGCCCTCCCCGAGGGGCCAGGGCAGAGTCACCCCTGCAGAGAACCTCTAGAGTCCCCACGGTATCGCCAGAAGCCACAGCAGCCCCCAGCGGCTTGCCCAATCAGCTGGCCCTGAATACTCCTGTGACCACATGGGAGCTGTGGTTTTCCATTGCTAAAGCAGACAGCGAAGAGGCGAATGGGGTCCCTTCCCTGCAGTCCCCTCTCTGTGCATGTGCTTGAGCCCACCAGGTCCCAAGGGAGAGAAGACACAAGAGACAAGACAGTAACATCAACTCCAAGACACCACCCGCCCCGTAGCTGGACTCACAGCTACCTGACAAGCTACCTTTCACCTCCACCTGATTTCCCATTCCCACAATGGCTGCTCAGACATGTCTCCTTTCAACTTCTTCATGATTCCACCGCCAGCTCATCTGGGGGCAGATTTCCGCATTTCCCCCTTTACTGGGAAGACTGAGATAGAGTTCATTTTCCTGAATACCAGGGGATGTGTGGCCTGCTGCCTGCAAAACCAGCTGGGCTGCCCAGCCAGCAGGAACTGCAGAAACATCCCGACTCGGTGGCTCATTACCGATTTCTCCGGGGACGTGCCTGCCGTGGAAGCGAAAGCAGGCGGTGACGTTCAGGCAGTTCACAGGCTGCTGTCCGTCGCGACACTGAGGTGCCGTGATGTTGATGGAGACTGGGAGGAAGATGGAGACGTCCACTGTGATGACCGGTCTTGCCCTACAGGTCAAGAGAAGAAGGTGGCTTAGTTGTGTTGAGAAGCAGCTCCCAGAATCAAACAAGAGCTAAACCGACAGGACAAATCCTAGGCCTTCAGCCCAGCACGTAAAATGGGAAATAACTGCCCAGCTGGTGTGGCTCAGTGGCTGGGCATCATCCCATGCACCAAGAGGTCACTGGTTCGATTCCTGGTCAGGGCACATGCCCGGGTTGCGGGCTCGATCCCCAGTAGGGGGCGTGCAGGAGGCAGCTGATTGCTGTTGATTTTCTCCCATCAATATTTCTTTTTTTTTTACATATGTCTTTATTGATTTCAGATAAAGAAAGGGAAAGAGAGAAAGAAACACCAATGATGAGAGAGTCATTGATCAGCTGCCTCCTGCACGCCCCCCACTGGGGATCAAGCCTGAAACCCGGGCATGTGCCATAACCAGGAATCGAACCTTAATCTCCTGGATCCTAGGTCAATGCTCNATAACCAGGAATCGAACCTTCATCTCCTGGATCCTAGGTCAATGCTCAACAACTGAGCTATGCTGGCCAGGCCCATCGATATCTCTCTCTCTCCTTCCCTCTCCAAAATCAATAAAAACACATTTTAAAATTGAGAAATAACCTAAGAGAAAAGGTCCAGGATGTTCAATAAATACTTTTTTTCTGGTTCTATAGCTTATTTCCTAATAAATTAATGGTTAGCTTCCCAATAATAAAGGCAGGGTAGTTGTTAATAAAACACATCTGGTTGAAGCCACAAATGAACCACCAGATGTTAAATGATTAGTTGAGATTTCACCAGTTAAGTTCCGATTTCCATTTCACTAGGAAGAAATGAACATATTTAAGAGGCGTCTGACAGTGGATGGCATGACTGGAGAAAGAGATGCACAATTGGGATCCCCACAGCATTACTGCCATTAGAAGCATGAACCGCCAAGTTCCAGTCCCATTCCGTGGGTCAAGCCTCCCCTTTCATTGACTCCATCAATTCATTATGTATTTTTCTGAAAGAACTTGACTAATGGAGTCCCAGCTGGTAACAGCAAAGCACTTCAGAGCTGATGAAATCAACCCGCCTGGCCTCAGGACCACGTGAAACCCAATAAACATCCACACTCTCAAAGCAGACGTGGCCCGCCCCCCAGTGCTTGATGGATGGGCATCATCGTTGCCAGTCCCCAGAGAGAACCAGCCCAGTCTGCCCTCCTGCGAACATCTGCTCAGGGACCATTCACCTAAGCTGCGGCTTGACCTCCTCCCCTCCAGGCCTCACAGAGAGACCTTTTCACCTCGGCGGAGCCCTGGCGCTCCTGCACTGGGGCGACATAACAGGATTAAGGGGCATTAGCGGCTTGCGAACAATGACCTTACTTGTGTACAGTGACCCCTCAAAGAGCGCCCAGGGTGACAAGACAAATGGGAACGATGGCCAACACTACCTCTGAAGGAAGGAAGCACTAAAGGAAACCTCCGAGCAAAAAGGGAACAAGACAGCGTGGATGGGGTCAGGGAAAAGATTTCACAGCTGCCGTGAGACGTGGATGAAGGGAGGAACAGTGTGACAAATACAAGGGAACTGTGGGACTCCCAGAGCACATCTAGCTTCAGGACTAATGGAAGGCATACAACAGGGGTGCTTGAAAGAAATCCGATATCCTGGCCTTCCGATTTTCTTCTGGGGTCACCCTTACAAGATGCTATAGACAAATAGTTACTCCTGGTCACAGTGAGTGTACAGATGCCAGTGGACACTCTCTAAAGCCCCAATGGCCCTTCCACGGCCCGCTCAAGTGTTCCCCCTCCCAGGAAGCCTGGGATCCTGGCAAATTCATCTCGATGTTCTCAGGATAGTAACTGTTCGGAAGCCCTTGTTAAATGGCTGCAAACTTTACTCCAGGCCAAGGGCTTAAAAACCACAGGAAAGCCCCAAGTTTCACAAAACAGATCGAGGTACCAGGGAGAGCTGGCCTGCACCCTGGGAGAGCCCCGCCCTGCCCAGCACATGTCCTGGTCCTCATACAGAAGAAAAGCCCAGCCCCTCCCATCATCCAGGGGCCACCTGGGATGCCTGGTTCCTCCTCTCGCCCCAGAGGCCTGCAGAAGGCGAGGTGAACAGGAAACAGAAGTGAGCGATCCAGACAAAATGATGAAGGTTGTTAAAACAGAATCCTTTGAAATGACCCGCGAGGACCTTCCCATGCACATCTACCTCCAACATCAGTTCCCTCAAACCTTTTTGTTCCAACTCCAAGTATTGTTTTTGGACCAGGCAAAGCCCAGAAATCTTTCATAGGCCTCTCTGATCACTTCCTTTGACTCTCAATGGCACCGCACCAGCCGCCTATCACCCCACCACAGGACTGGCCTCCCCAGCTAATCGGAGAGAACAAACTTCCTGAGGGCAGAGCTGGCCCAGCCTGCACTCCTGGGGGTGGGAGGCCGGGTTTCACGGTGCCAGCCTCTGAGATGAAAGCAAAGGGGCACCTCAGGACAGCAGTGCACATGTTCCCGAGATTTTATTTTGAAGAGCCTGGTGGCTGGAATACTTTCTAATGGCCAACAGCCGTATTTCACATGTAAGTGCCCTGGGCTTTGTCGGGGTCAGTGCTGCCAGCAGGGCAGAGATGGGTGGACAGATAAAGAGCTGAGTGGCTGGGGAAGACGCTGGCCTACCACACCTACCCTGAAACCATCTACTGTCAGTACGGTTTTCTCCGAGCTCAGCCCAAGGCACCTCTGAGGCCTCTCCCTGAGGACACTTAAGAACCGGCACAGGCCCTGGCCGGTGTGGCTCAGCGTGGTTAGAATGTCAGCCTGTGCACTGGAGGGTCTCGGGTTTGATTCCTGGTCAAGGGCACCTACCTGGGTTGCAGGTTCCATCCCTGGCCCCAGTCAGGGACTGTGCAGGAGGCAACCAATCAATGTCTCTCTCTCATATCAATGTTTCTTCCCCCCCCCCCCCG